CGCTGTGCAGAGGAGCTGATGAGTGAATAACTTACGGTGGGTTTAGGTAAGGGGATGATCAAGATAAGGATATGTATGCGTGTGAGGAAGGAACAAGGCTGCCAAAACAGAAAGTATGGGATTCTGTAAGGATCTGATAGATTGGGAGGATAGGTGGGGGAAAGCAGAGGTGCGGACTGTAGCAAAGCCCGCGTATGATACTCCTTGGCGGCACCATATACTACAACAGCTATATCTCGACGGAATACGCGGAAACATTTTTTTTAATCTCTGACCGTACCTTCCGGGTCAGATTTTCCTCTTCTGCTTTTGACTCCCAAAGTTATCTTGGCGGGATCAAATCCTTTCTATTAAGGGAAAAGCCGGCTATCGCCTCCATTACAAACCCTCTCCCACCTCTCCTGGGGATCAGACCGCAAAACACTCCATCTCCATATTACCCTAATCCTCTCCACCCTTGACTATAGTTGCTACATATATTTTTCTGCCTCTCTTCTCTCTCTCCTTGATCCTATCCACCATTGCGGTCTCTGCTTAGCCCTTGGAGCTTTACGATCCTCTCCAGTTGAGCCTATATGTTGAATCAGGACAGCCATCATGTGTTTTCCTTTTTTTCGCCTCCATTTTTTTCTACTAAGGTTTGTTGCTGTTTCATTGCTCTCTCTCTCTCTCTCTCTCTCTCTCTCTCTCTCTCTCTCTCTCTCTCTCTCTCTCTCTCTCTCTCTCTCTCTCTCTCTCTCTCTCTCTCTCTCCCTCTCCCTCTTCCTTCTTTCCCTCCCATCAAATCTCTCTCTCTCTCTCTCTCTCTCTCTCTCTCTCTCTCTCTCTCTCTCTCTCTCTCTCTCTCTCTCTCTCTCTCTCTCTCTCTCTCTCTCTCTCTCTCTCTCTCTCTCTCTCTCTCGCTCTCTCTCTCTCTCTCTCTCTCTCTCTCTCTCTCTCTCTCTCTCTCTCTTCTCTCTCTCTCTCTCTCTCTCTCTCTCTCTCTCTCTCTCTCTCTCTCTCTCTCTCTCTCTCTCTCCTCCTTCCTTTCCCTCCTTCTCTCACACTCCCTCCCTCCTCCCTTCCCTCCACGCCGCGCTCTTTTGTCCCTAAGAAAAACTATGCTGCTTCCACCAATTTTCACTCTCCCTCAACCACTTCTTCGTATTTTCCTCTCCACGTTTACCTGTCCCTTTCCCTATTCGTATGGTCTTCTTTCCCGTTCATCCCTTCATCTCCGAATTCTTCCTCTTTCTACCCAAACTTTCCTCCCTGGCTAGTACCTACCTCATGTAATTTGCTCCTCATTTTCCCCCTGATCTACCAAAGCCAAACAAGTCCACCTTCTATCCTTCTCACACATTTCTTGCTCATATCTCGTCACTCCTCTAGCACTCATATCTACACTGACGGGTCTAAATCCAGCTCAGTTGTTGCTTTTGCCATAGGCTTTCCCACTCAGACATACAGCTTTCCTTCCACATGAATCGAGCGTCCTTACAACAGAACTATATGCTATATCCAAATATTTCTAAAGTGACATTCCCTTTTCTTCTCAACAAAGCCAATGGAGTTATACAACTAAAACAGCTGGAAGGAAAAATAAAGAAACGAAAGTGAAATGAAGTGAAACGCAGACAGGGCAATACAAAGAGGATCGAATCCCAAATGAAGAGAATGGGGCAAAATCAGATCCTCTTTGCTCTACAACGCATATCTTCCATCTCTTCATCCTTCGGCATCTTCACTGACACGTAACAATATCACTCGTACAATCCATACCCCCTTTCAACCCTATAGCCCATAAGATACACGACCAGCTATTCTGTCTACACGACAGAAAGCATTGAATTTTACCCAGCTATGTCGGGATTCCCGGCAACGAACGATCTGCTGCCCTGCCCACAAGGCACCAAACCCCGCTTTTCACTCCTCCCATCCACCGATTAATACCTCCACTTCAAAACTTTACAACCGATGGCAATCCTTCTGGTCAGGTCCATACCATCAAAACAGACGTTTTGCCCGCCTACGAACAGGCCTCACCAGAATCACTCTCACACCTCATGTCACATTCCTCTAACCTATGCCCTACATGCAATGTCCTTCTCTCTGTCCCGCATATCCTACTGTCCACGCTTTGCCGAATCCCGTACCTTTACTTTCCTTCACCTGTCAGACAGACATCCTTACAGAATCCCCACCTTTTATTGATAATTTTCCTTCAGATTGCTTCTGTGTGTGTGTGTGATATATTATATATATATATATATATATATATATATATATATATATATATATATATATATATATATATATATATATATATATATATATATATATATATATATATATATATATATATATATATATATATATATATATATATATAAGGAGGAAAGAGGAAGGAGGAGGATGTCCTTTCTGCCAGTGGCACTATTCGTTTCTCATCATATTTTGTTGCTTATTGTATTCACGGTCAAACCGCTTCAGACATCCGCTTAATACTCCTCCACTCCTT